GTTATCCATTGGTCCCTCCATCACCCCTTTCCTTGGCCACCCACCAGCCAGAGGATACAATGACTTAGGCGCTGAGCCAAGAGCTAGGGACACAGGGATGAATCAGACCCGGTTTTGTCCTCAGTGTGGTTAGGACCAATGTAGATACAAGCAGGGAGGCAAATGATGCTGATAGTGGGCCTTCCTGCCATGTTTTTCTCTTCACAAACATGAGCAAAAAGGAGCTCACAGCAGGGGTTCCTTACTGGGTATTAGAAAGAGGAAATGGCTCCTGCGATGTCTATTGAGGGATTCATAGGAATCAGCCAGGCGAGGTGGAGAGGGGGAGGGGGAGGGAAAACAGGGCATTCGGAGCGGGAGAGCTGCAGGTGCAAAGGCCTGGAGTCCAGGGAAACTGAGCCTGTGGGAGGAACAGCAAGTGTTTCCGAATGGCTAAAGCAGAGGGTGTGAAGGCCAGGGATGGCTTTAGACCTTGGAGGCCCCGGGCACTATTTTCCAAGGCCCCACCCTCACACCATATCATGCATTTAAAAATTCACCCACCTTGCATATTAAATATGAGTTATATATAGCCATGAAGCCAGCTGCAAAGACAGCTGACATAAGGTTACATCTTGTAGACATGTAATGACACATGTATTAAAACTGGCAGCCTTCTTGTTTTATTATTTTTGGAGACTCTACATATAGTTAGAAAGAGAGGTTCTGGAAATAAATCTTTCTGTAGCTACATCTGCAATACCTATTCAATAAATTAGTCCTGGAGGGTGGATGGCAGTGGCAAATGAGCCTGGAGCTGCCCGTGAGCTGCTGTCTGAGTGAGCCTTGGGTGTCCTGCGGGGAGCTTCGTCCAGGGAAGCCTTGAAGCATTTTAAGTGGGGGCTGCGGTGGGCAGCCTAGGACAGGCGTTAGTGTCCTAGTGAGAAGCCTGGAGACAGGGAGCCCAGAGGAGACGCTCATGCAGGGCCTGAGATGCACGATTAGAAAGACCAGTCCACCTCTGCCCCAGCTGGCATACGTGTGCAGACTCAGTGCTTTTCTCTGGTTTCTCTAGCCCTCGCCTGGGTCCAATCCCTGGGGCCCGGGATTCAAGACCGAGCTCCTGATGGCAGAGGAAAGGAAGGCCGACTTCCTCCAGAGGGCGTCACAGGACCGCTTTTCAGGGGTAGGGGCCGGGGCGGGAGCGGCTGTGCAGACATTGGGGTTGACAATAGCAGTTTGGCTGGGCTGGAGGCCAGCACCCAGGGAGGTCCCTGGGAGGAGCAGGTCCGGCCAGGAGAGGAGGGGCTCTGCCGTCCAGAACCGGGCTGAGACTCAAGCTTGACAGAAGCAAAGACCCCAGTTCATTTAGAGCCCGGCTGCTTCCAGCACCCGCGTGAAAGTCACAGATGAACGAACCAGACGCCTCGTCTTACCTAAGAGGAAACAGAGACCAGGGAGTGGTGGAGCTCCCCCAGGGCTCCAGAATGTTCCAAAGGCAGGCCAGCCCCAGAGGCCGGCTCTGACCTGGCACCAGCAGTCCCTTAATTGTGTGGCCCAGTACAGTGGTCAGAGACATTGCAAACAATTATAATGAATACTGAGCACTTGATGCACACCAGACACTTGTCAAGCACTTTATATGTGTGATCTCCTTTCCTCCTCCTTCCCTGCCCCGGAAGCAGGGCAGCCTCACCCCCATTTCACCCCTCCAAAATAATAGAGACCCTGGAGGTGAAGGCCATGCCTCACCTGAAGTCACACAGCTATGCTTAACAGAGCCAGGGACCCCACAAAGGTCTCTGTGACTCAGCCCCAGTGCTCAGTTTTAAATTTGAGAGGAAAACAGTGATGCCACCTTGCTACTTTCTAAGAATATGTCATTGTGTTTCATGAAGCGACTTCCTAGAGCTGGGAAATCGATTCACGGACTATTCATATTTTCAATAAGGATGTTTTAGTTAGTTGACCCTTAGCCAGAAAGTTAAATTAACCAAGACACCTCTTGCCCCAAGCACTCTGGCTAGTTGGTTATGGAGACTTTGCAGTGCCAGCAAAGAGGCTTTGGAGTGCAGAACATGGGGAACCGCCCTCAGCAGGGGCCTGAATCCAAACACCCATATCCCCATATTGGGGCAGGAAGGACCCTTAGAGCTCAGCATTTTGGGGGCACTGGGGCTCCGAGAGAGACAGTGACCCATCCAGGGTCACAGAACTGATAAGCAGTTCTAGTACTCCTTGTATCAAAAGCCTGAACTCTTAACCTTGAAGTACAATTGGCAACCAACAAAGGAAAGCGCTGTTACAGTAATGCAAATTCACATTTGCCTTTCCATTTCCCAGGACAAGCAAGCAGAAAAGGCAAAACAAAGGCGCCATGAGAATGTCCATTTAAGGCACACAGACTAGAATTTTGGCTTTGGCCATCCTGAAGGCAAACAAAGGCACCTGCAAGCTATCCCCCTTGGAGGAACTTCTCAACATTCATCCAGCAAATATTTACTGTGGGCACCGAGGAGACCACAGTGACCAGGATGTTCAAGGTCTCAGCTCTCAAGGAGCTTATGTTCTGAGGATGAAGAGAGACTGGGGTTTGGGGGTGGGGGAGGGGGCAGGCAGAGCGAGGGCAGTCAGGAGAAGAGTAAATACAATATGAAAAGGGTGTTAAGTGCTATGAAGACAATAAAACTGGATAAAATTATGAAAGGAGGATGGTGGGGCACTGTTTAGCAGTTAGGTTGGAGAACTTTGGATTGAGATCTGAATAAGGAGAAAGAAGAATCTCATGCTGAAAGAAAAGCGTTCTAGTCAGCGAGAAGCGCAAGTACAAAGGCCCTGAGGCAGGAAAGAAGCTTGGTTTGTTGGGCTAGCAGTAGAAATACAGGATGAGCCATGTGTGTAATTTTAAATTTTCTAGTAGCCACATTTTTTTAAGTGAAAAAAAAGCAGGTATAATTATTTTTAATATATTTTATTTAATTCAATATACAAACATTTTTATTAATAAAATACATCTTTTCATACTAATTCTTTGAAATCTGATGGGGATTGGGAGTATACTTTGAGTACTCAGTAGCTACAGGCTCCTCATGGCTAGTACTGGGCAGGCCAGTGGTGGGTGAAAAGTGTCTTGGGAGAGCTTTAAATCAGGGGTCACACGGATGGATTCTAATGATTCTGCATATGTCAGGACTAACCCCTGGAATCCCTGCAAAAGCCCCCACTTGGGCCTTTTGGAGCAGCTGTTCCCAGGCCCGGGATGGCGCACACACGAGGGGAAAGCCCCCAGCCTTCCTCTCCCCGGGGAGCCTTCTTCCCTCCGTGGAGTCTAGCTCTGGGGAAGCCAACGCCTGCACACGTGGGAAAGCAGCGTGGCTGGCCCTGGGCCTGGAGCCATCTCCCGGGCCCAGTGTGCCAGGCCTCCTTCCAGACGCCGGTGTCCGCCCAAGTGAAGTAGGGCCTCTCCGCCAGCCGCCTGGCCACGCCCCTTGGACTCGTTTTGGTTTTCGGGTGCAGACAGGTCTACATTCCTCTGAAGAGGCCAGCTCGGCATCATCAAAGCTGGTGAAATCAACAATAACAGTAACCCAGGGCCCCGACCTGCAGTTCCTGCGAGCGCCACGAGGGGCGCCAGTAGCCGAGGCGCCTGCTGGCTGCTACCCAGCCCCTGGCAGCCTCTCCTCCCCCACTTCTGTGCCCACCCCAGGCTGGCCGGCCCCGCCGAGGCCTCCCCTCCCGCAAACACGATGTTCCCTCCAGCAGCCTCACCCCGAACCTAGCGGCAATCTGTCGCCAGCGGTTGCCTAGGTTCCTTCATTTTCTAGGCCTTGGGCCCCCGCCAAAATGGCGGCGAGGGTGCCAGCTGTGCGGCGGCCAGAAAGGCAGGAGGGAGAGGAGCTGTGCCTCGGGAGGCCCTGGTGCCTGGTGTGGGGATAGGCGGAGACGAGCAGCGGCGAATCCAAAGTCTGTGCGTCCCGACCTGGAGCCAGGAACAAAAAAGATTCCACTGTTCGGATGTTTTCACCCCTAAGGCTGAATAACAGCAGAGGCCTGACTACCCACGTGGTGTCTGTGGCCAGAATAGGACCCACATAATAATGGCTTAGATCAGGGGAGAGTTTTTCCCACTCCGTGGGGCAATAGCGTCATAAGGGCAACAATAGCACTCTACAAGCTGACATTGGAGCGCCGTGGAGGCCTTGCCTCTGCCCTCACCACCTTTCTGTGTGCTCCGGTGGCATCTCCCGAGTACGGTGTGGTCACACCCTGACTCCCGGGAGGTGCTGGACTCCAGAGGGACGGAGAATTGGCTGATCCTTAGAAGACTAAGAGATTAGCCCAGCTGGTCCATCACCTCTTGGTTCCCCCTCCCTCAACCATTTGTCAGCTAGAGAGGGCTGTTTGGGGTGGATTTTCTAGTAGGGGAATGGTCATGTTTATCTTTCTAGAAAAACCTGGTTGCATATGGCCATGAAAGCACCCAACTTCAGGAGTAGCTTACCTCAAAAGGCCCTGAACAATGGCACAGGCCAGCCGGAGGGTGTCCAAGTTGACGTTTCCAAGCTGGAGGATGAGATCAAAGGACTGCTTTTCTGGAGAGAGTCCAGTTGGGAGGATGTGAAGAAAGCAAGTCTTGGTCTGGGAAGAGCACATTGAGAAGGTGGATGGTGAACAGGAAAGTCAAAGATGACAGTTTGGAAGGAGCCTGAGGAAAATGCAGGATTTGGAAAGAGGAAAAAAGCAGGGCGGGTGTAGCTGAGTGGTAGAGTGTGAGCCTAGCTGCATGAGGTCCTGGGTTCAATCCCCAGTACCTCCATCAAAAATAAATAAATAAATAATAAATAAGTAAATAAGTCTAATTATCTCCCCTTCTTCCCCCCAAAAGGTGAAAAGGGGAGGAAGAAGAGGTCTATTTTTGTTTCCAATAAGGTCTATCTTTTGATAAGTCCCTCTGCTCCTCCAATGGACCAGAGCCTGCCTAGAAAAATACTTGTGTGCACTTTGAGTGTATTTCCTCCTTGTGGTAACCCTCTGAGGCAGGTATAAATCCATAATTTCAATTCCAAATTCCAGAAAGCTCAAAATGTGAAAACACTTTGGTAGCTTCTTTAGTGGTAAAAGCTAATTTGAAATACTACGAGCCTTTAATCCCACTCAGTGTGAATATTTATCCTCTTGCTGCAAAAATAGTAATGTGTTTGATTTTGGGGTCACAGAGTCCAATGGGACGTTATGTGATACCTGGTACATGTGCTTGTTATCTTTCTAAAATCTGAAACACGCTGAATTCTGAGACACAGCTAGCCTGGAAGCTTTTGGGTAAGAGACTGTGACTCTAGATTATTCCCATTTTACAAGGGAAAAAGCTGAGGCTTAACAAAAGAACCAAATTGTCTTAGGCCACAGAGGTGCCAAGTGACAGACTGAGGACTCCAGCTCTGGTCCAGTTCTTAGTAAGGGACTGAGAGTCCAGGAGGCTAAGCAAAGCCTAAGCCTGGTGGTGTGGGTCATTCGAGACCCACAGATGCTCAGGCCAACTAGCTGAGAATGGATCTGGAAGGCAAGGGGGACCGCTGTACCCTTGAGAGACTCTGGCATTTCTGGAAGGCTGGGACTGTGGCTTTGGGCTACACCAGATGCTTCAGCACAGCAGCCCTGAGGTCTGGATCCAGAGACCCATTAGCAAAGTGCTCTTTTTAGCTCTGTAATAGTTTCTTCTTCTGTTGCAGCAAAGTGTGTTACAGCTCAGTTGTAACAGCAGCCTGGATCTGGCAAGAGACCAAGCAGCACGTGGAGGGTTGGAGAACTCAGGTTTATTACGCCAGCAGGCCCAGAGGAGTTAACACTCCAAGCTCTGAACCCCATCTGTAGGTTTACAACCCTTTATAGGCTACCAGCCTAGACTTTGCAACATTTTGCAGCATCATATGCAAATAAGGTATAACAAAGGTGACTGATTGGGAACAAGCTTTGTAGAAGTGGACCAATCAGGAATGAGAGGAATGGACCAATCAGGAGTGAGGGAAATGGGCCAATCAGGAGTGAGCTCCATGTAAATGAAGCACTACAAATGGACTGGTCAGGAGTTAGCTCAGGGAACTGATAGAATCTTAGGGGTGAGTTCCGCTTTCCTAGAAGTAAGCTGTTTCAGAGTTTAAAAAGTGAAAATGCTGCAGGGCCAGGGAACAGAATGGTACTGGCAGAAGGGTAGTGGCCCTGCCTGGGGGTCCTGCCGTCTTTTTCATGGGGCTTCCTACCTCACTTCTGCAGGATGGGGATGATAATATTTGCCCCTGAGGGTTGGTGTAAATATTAAATAAGATATGCTTGAAAACACTTAGCATGGTGCCTGAAACTTACTCAGCAGTTAATAAATGTTAGCCGTGACTGTTATTCTCAAAGTGGGGTGTGCACACCTCTCAGAGAGTTCCAGATCTCATATGGGTGTGAGAATATTCTTGGATTGCCAATTTTGCTTGTTTCCTAGTAATTTAAATCATTATTTCTTTTTCCCATTAAAACTGGCACAGAGTGAACATACTTAACACTACTGTACACTTAAAAATGGTTAAGATGGTAAATTTTATGTTATGTATACTTTACCATAATTAAAAATTAAGAAAAAAAACAGCCTGGGGGAGAGGGTATAACTCAGTGGTAGAGCATATGCTTAACATGCACAAGGTCCAGGGTTCAATCCCCAGTACCTCCATTAAAAATACAAAAGAAAACAACAACAACAACAAAAAATACCAACTGGCACAAGTGTATTAGGAAACAGGATGCACAAATACATGAATAAAATAGAGGAGATGTCAATGAATTTCTAGCCATTTGCTGAGGAGGGGGGTGGCGAGGGGTTGAGTAAGGGGAAGGGAGAGGGGCAAAGTTCACGATCACAGGTGAGTATGAGAAACCCTCTTAGAGGTCTTGTCGGCCTGTGCTCCTGAACTTGGTCCAGGGTTAGAGAGTTTGAGGTGCTTTGTGAACACAGGCAAATCTAAGTTCTACAGATAATGAGGCCATGAATGTTCATGGGCACAGTCATCACACGTTTTGGGCCCTACGCTGGTCACTGGGGCAGACACAGACTCGAATGTGACCAGGTCCCCAGCCTCAAGGCTCTCCTGGCTACTGTGGGAACGTACATGTGAAGAGAAAACTATTACAACCACTGGATGTGACCGGCAGCGCTAGGAAGTGTGTTCAGGGTTCAGTGAATACTTTGAGGAGCTTTGAAGAAGGCCGCATTCCCTCTGCAAAGGGTGGCAGGGAGTTGGGAAGGATATCCTAAAAGAGCAACCCCTGAGTTGGGTTGAGTACGCTTTCATGAGTCAGCGGTTCTCAAACTTGAGCGTGCATCAGAATCCCTGGGAGGACTTGTCGAAACCCAGATGGCTGGTCTCCCGGCTCAGTGTTTCTGATTCAGCAGGTCTGGAGTGTGGCCCAAGGATCTGCATCCCTAACAAGCTTCCTGGTGATGCAGTGGTTCCCGGAACACACTTTGAGGACCACTGAGCTAGATCAAGAAGAGGAGGCAGAGTGTGCCAGGAGGTGGGGGAGATTTGTGTAAAGAGATGGAGGGGTGAGAGAGCAACAGGTGTTTTAGAGAGCCACGAGCAAATGTATGAGGCTTGAGCCGGGTGGGTGGCCAGGTGCAGCTGAAGATGGACCCGTGCACCAAGCCTCGGAGTTTGGACTTGATCCTGGAAATGCAGAGCAGCCAAAGGAGGTGCTTGTGGAGCAGAGAACATGAACAGTTTAGCCCTTTAGCAAGATCACGTCGGAGGGCAATTAGCATGGGGAGGAGAAAATGGAGGCAGAGAGACTAGTTAGGAAGCTGTCACAGCGAGCCTGTTGGATCCCGCCAGCCTTGGTCTTACTGGTACCCAGAGTTCTGGGAGCGGGAAGTGGCAGAAACCTAGATGAGCAGCTGTTCATATAAACTGGTAAAAAAAAAAACATGTAATTGACTTGTTCGCCTTCAAGTTCTTTACTTTTCCGAAGAGGATTGAGCTATTAAAAATAATAAAAATTTAAAGAAATCAAAAATAAAATAAAAAATAATTTTAAAAAATAGCACCGTGGACAACTACTCATTGGCAATAAGCACAGGACTGAGCATTTTAGGTGCATCATCTCATCCAGTGCTGAAGTGGAAGCTCAGAGAAGTTCAGGAAGCCACCCAAGAGACAGAGCCAGATTCAAACCCGGAGGTGCAGCCCATTCTCTCTCTCCCAAGTCTGGATTCCTCACGAGCTTGCGTCGCTCCTCCCAGGGTGAGTGTCTGCGTGCTGTGACCACTCGGTATGCGTGTGGCGCATGCTGGATGCTGTGGTGTTGTTGACCCCAGGCCTTCCCCTTCTGCTGGTCACAAGATAAAGGGTCTCCTTGGGTATCTTCATGGGGATGCTTAGAGCCAGGGAGAAAGGACCTTGCTGGGCATTGAATTTCCCCTCTGGGGCAATAAAACAGGCACTGGGGGAGAAGGGTGTCACCTGCCTGTCAGCTCCACCGACATGACTTGGAGTAATTCTCAGACACTCCCAGGTCAGTGAGAGAGAGCATAAAGGCTGCCCTACCAAAATGCCAGGGATGGCGAGAGCAGTGAGAGGAGTTCGCTTGTCAGGTAGAAAGTGATTTTTTTCCCCATGCACTCAAACGACTCAGGAACCAGGCACAGAGAGAGAGGAGGAAGAATGAAAGAAAGGTTGGCAGAGAGGGAAGGACTCGTGGCCTTGGAGTCAGAAAAGTTGGCAGAGATGGAAGAACCCGTGGCCTTGGAGTCAGCTGGCTGTGTGACCCTGGGCAAGTTCCTTCCCCTCTCTGGGCTTCCGTTTCTTCCACCAGTACAATTAAGTAGATAGATTAGATGATCCCTAAGCTCCCTTCCCACTTTGACATTCTGTGCTTTTCCTTTTCAAAGTACCTGAGTGTGACTTTTCCAGGAAAATGTCAGACCTTTCAAAGGGCAAGCTTCTATGTTTGCCAGACATCTTTTGTCACTCTGCAGTTGGTTTTGTCTGTGTTCATGTCCAGGGGATTTTCTATGATGTATACATTTTCTTATTTCTCTAGCTATATTTCCTTGTTTGCATTGGTTGACTGTTGCAGAAACAGGGCACTGTTTTTCTAAGCAAATATGCAGTTCCATGCCAACAGGAATATCCTGTTTATAGGGGCCTCCTTTTACAAGGTACCAGCTGTTTGAAAACATTTGTGTGTTGCCACATCAGAATAATCTCCTGATAAGCAACTATTTTTTCTTCTAGTGACACAATTTTCTTTAATACAATCCTACAGTGATACTGATGCACCTTAAAAAAGTACATATCCCACCTGATTATCATGGTCACCTGTTTCTTCCTCTCTTTCTATTATTAGCTTGCTAGGGCTGACATACAAAATACCAAAAACTAAATGGCTTACACAGCAGGAGTGTGTTATCTCGTAGTCCTGAAGTCAGGAAGTACCAGACTGAAGTGTGGCAGGCCTGGTTCCTTCTGAGGGCTCCGAGGGAGAATCTGTTCCGTGTCTCCTGCCCAGTTTCCAGCATTTGCTAGCAGTCTTTGGCGTCTGCATCACCCATCTCTGCCCTCATCAACACATGGCATTCTTCCTGTGTGCGTGTCTGTGTCCAAACTCCCCCTTTTCATACGGATGTCAGTCATACTGGGGTAGGGGTCCACCCTACCCCAGCATGACCTCATTTAACTTAGACTTCCAACTCCAGAGAGAGTAGTTGGCTGTCACTGACCCAGCGCTGCTCTGAAATCCATCGCTGTGTTTGTACTGGCCGCATGTCCCATGGGTTGCTCCCAGCCATTGACTGAGGGCAACAGGCATCCCAGGACAGCCCTGTTCCTGGAGGTGCAGGACTCCTCTGAGAGGTGACGTTGGTTCGAGGACTCCCCAGCAAGCTTGCTGAACCTTCCTTGGACTGCATGACAGTCCAGGATGCTTCTCCTCAAGCTTCCTTCCGTGTCTCACTTGGGGTCAGACTTGCATCCACTCTTGTTCCGCCTCTTGAGATAACTCTATACTCGACTGTACTCCCCTCCCCACGCCCACGCCACCCCCATCCCTGAGCTTCCCCCGCCTCCACTGCTCCCTCCTGGTTTTCCCTCGCAGTGGGGTTTCCTAGCAAAACCCCTCCATGTCTAGTTCCATCTTAGCACCTACTTCATGGAGGACCTGGAGTAACACAAGAGGGGACAGAAACTCAGTGTCCTCAAAACCACATTGAGATAATACCTCCCATCCGTCAGGATGGCTACCAGAAGAAAAAGAAGAGAAAGAAAGAAAGAAAACAAAAAGTAACTAGTATTGGTGAGAACCTGGAGACACTGGAACCCTTGAGCACTGCTGGTATGAATATAAAGTGGTGGGACCACTATGGAAGATGGGATGGTGGCTCTTCAAAAATTTAAATATAGAATTACTAGATGATCCAGCAATTCCACTTTGGGGTAAATACCCCAAATAACTGAAATCAGGGTCTTAAACAGATATTTGTATACCCAGGTTTATAACAGTATTATTCATCCTAGCTAAAAGATGGAAGCAATGTAAATGTCCTTTAGTGGATGAGGAGTAGGTAAACAAAATGTGGTACATACACCCAATGGAATATTAATATTATTCAGCCTTTAAAAGCAAGGAAATTCTGACATGTGCTACATACAACCTGGATGAACTTGTGGACATTATCCTAAGTGAAACAAGCCAGTCACAAAAAGACAGTGTGTGATTCCACTGACACGAGGTACCTAAAGTAGTCAGAGTCATAGAAACAGAAAGCAGAGTGGTGGTTATGAGGAGCTGGGAGGGAAGGGGAAGGGAGAGGCGGTGTGAGGGGTACAGAGTTCTGGTGTGAGATGATGAAGGCGTTCCGGAGATGGATGGTAGCGCTGGCTGTACAACAGTGTCAAAAGACTTAACGCCACTGAACTGTACGCTTACAAATGGTTGAGATGGTAAGTTTTCTGTTATGTGTATTTTATCCCACTTAAAAATAACATGCGAAAAAAATCCTTGCCTCTTAGCGCAAAGTTGAGAGGGCACCAAATCCTGTTGGCAAGTGCTTGGGGCATCTGGGTGACCAGGCCAGGGAAGCACAGGGCAGGCTGTTTATTCTTCACAAGACCTAAATGGTCTGAAGGCTTCTGGTTACCCGTTTACCACATGGAAACCTAAGTTTAATCTTTTCATTGTCAGGATGGTCCTCACGCATACCTCATTTCAGGGAACTTTATGATTCACCAGACAGATGGTAGTGAATTGGAAAACATGTTTACGGTTTTGGATTCTTACTTCATAAACTGGGGGTGTTTTAGGTGAGAGAAAGGGAGAGGCAGTAGCCATTTGGATCATTTTTAAAAGCATCGTTTTGGCCCAGCTGGACCAGGAAGGTACCAGAGGCAAAAAACGGCCAGGCTTTTCCATCTGAAAGTTTTTCTTTTCAGAGAGAGAAAATAGAGATTCAGGCACAAGTCAGAGTGATTTGGCCAAATATCCAACAGGGAGAAAAGGAGAAAAGACTTTCCGATTTTAATACTTTCTTTTTCCCCTCTCGTCTTCAAGGTGCAGTTATCGGAAGGACTTAGGGGCTTGGGGTTATTGTTAAAGTTTGAACTTTAACAATAACTTGACCATAGTCCTTGGGCAAGCTGTGTGATCTCTCTGTGCCTCAGTTTCCTTCTCTGGAAATTGGGAATAAAAATAGTGGCTCCTTCATAGGAGTGTAAATGTTCACAGCTAGAAACTGCTCCACGTTTTCTATGTGCCGGACATTGTGCTAAGTCTTTTATATGCATTGACTCATTTAATCCTCAGACTCAGGATGATCTCATTCCACAGCGGAGGAGCCTAACCACAGCGTGACACCTCATTGTACTAATTGTGGAATGCGTGTAAAAAGTGTAAGTCCGGCCTCAGTAAACATTCAAGAGCATTTCCCTCGTGTTTCAGGGATGCGGACCTAAGGTTCAGAGAGATGAAAAAGCATTTTAAGATCACAACACCATGAGACGGTAGAGCTGGGGCTTGGCGTTGAATATTTTCTCCCCAAACCCAAGCAAAGCATGCTGAGGTGTAGGGGAGCCTGGTCGTCAGGCAGACTGGTGGAGCTTTGTAAATCACCTACACTTCAATTAAAAAAAATCAGTGCTGTCATTATGGAAAACAGTGTGGAGATTCCTCAAAAAACTATAAAACTACAAGTAGACTTACCACTTAATCCAGCAATCCCACTCCTGGGTATATATCTGGAGGGAACTCTAATTCAAAAAGACACCTGTACCCCAATGCTCACAGCAGCATTGTTTACAATAGTCAAGACATGGAAACAACCTAAATGTCCATCAACAGATGACTGGATAAAGAAGCTGCGGTATATTATACAATGGAATACTACTCAGCCATAAATAAGAATAAAATAATGCCATTTACAGAAACATGGATGGACCTGGAGATAGTCATTCTAAGTGAAGTAAGCCAGAAAAAGAAAGAAAAATACCATATGCTATCCCTCATATGTGGAATCTTAAAAAAAAAAGAAAACACTAATGAACTTATTTACAAGACAGAAGCAGACTCACAGACATAGAGAACAAACTTATGTTACCAGGGGAAAAGGGGTAGGAAGGATAAATTGGGAGTTCAAGATTTGCAGATACTAACTGCTATATATAAAACAGATAAACAAGTTTCTACTGTATAGCACAGGTAACTGTATTCAATATCTTGTAACCTATAATGAAAAAGAATACGGAAACGAATATATGGATGTATATGTATGACTGAGACATTATGCTATACACCAGAAATTGACACAACATTGTAAACTGACTATACTCCAATAATAGTAATAAAAAAGATTCCACATATTAAAAAAAAAAGCCAAATTCCCTAACTGTTGAGCATGCGGGGTTTCAGGGCACGCGGTCATCTACGGATACAGAATACTCTTCTAATCTTTCACTCATTCAACAACCATTCTCTGAGTCCCTACACCATGCCAGGAATTTGGAGATAGAGAGGAACTGGTCCTCGGTCTAGAGTTGCTCAAAGATTTGGGAGGGTGTGAAATGTAGGGACCTACAAAATCATGGAATCAGGCCCTGGCTCTTCTGAGCCTCGAATGGTGGCCCCAAGGATGTGCTTCAGAGGAGGTCACGGTCGGCAGGAACAGAGCCGGTTTCACCACTGGCGCGGACGGCGTCCTCTGTGCAGGTCTCCCTGGGCGGAGAGGCAGTCCCGGCGTCGGGCATCACCACACTGTCACCCACCCCTTCAAGGTCTGTTTTCCCAACTCTTTGCCAGCGTGCGTGCTCTTCTTTCTCTGACCCCCAGGCCCTGCAGAGGACTTGGCAGGCGGTGTCTGCTGGCTGCCAGACGGCGCTGATGTTGACCCTGCGTTTCTCGGGAGCTTAGATCATCATGCAGAACGCTCTGCTCAGCCCTGGGATGACGTAGCTCCAGCCCTCAGGAGGGCTCATGATTACTTGTGCCTTTCAACTCCAGTCTGTTGCTCTCCCCAAACACTGTGGCAATTTTAAAACACCTGGAAAACAAAGGCATTCTAGTTTCCTTGTGAACCATGTATAAGATGATTAGTAACACAGTATTTCATTTCTTTCACCTTTTAAAATAACTTTTATTAAAAAAATTTTTTCTTCCAGTTTTATTGAAATATAGTTGACATACAGCACTGTATACTTTTTTGGGGGTGTGGCTGGAGGTTGATAATTAGGTTGTATTTATTTATCTATTTTAATGGAGGTACCAGGACCTTTAATGGATTGAACCCAGGACCTCAAGTTTGCCATGTTTGCTAGGTACGCACTCCACCACTGAGCTATACCCTCCCCCTTCATTTCTTTCATCTTAAAGCAACCTCTTCCTCATCTGCCTTGCAGGGCGCTCTGGCAGCCCAGGATTTGGGGGCTACATCTGGGAATTCCTGCGGTACCCTACCATCATCTCTCAGCATGGAATGAATTATTCCCCACTAGGTCCTCCCTGCTGGAACAGGTGCTTGCTGAGGGCAGAGACAGCCTGTATCTCCCTGTTGCCAGGGCCTGGCTCCCAGGAGCTGCTCAAGCAAATACTGTTGACTACCGGAAGGGAAGAAGCTGTTTCTGGATTTTGAACACGCGTCTCTCCCCTCAGGCTTTGCCCTTCTAAGCTGTGGAGTCCCAGTTGTCCTCTCTGAGCTACTTGCGTATGCTGGGTCTCAGAGAGGCCTCAAACGGCCTTCTGTCATCAGGGCGTGTGCGGGTGTGCACGCATGTAGGTGCAGATGCAGGAACGTGCGATCCGGTTATTCAAGTTACACAGCATCGTGCTGAAAACCCCAGAGCACCGGGCTGTCCTCATTTATGAGTTTAAAAATAACAACCCCTTCCATTCATTCAAAAGTGGTTTATGGTTTGCAAGGTACTTCTGCCACCCTTCACTCAGGGCAGGACGCACAGCCACCTCGGAAGGCGGGGTGGGAGGTGGGTGCTCCTCCCTGCTCCCACTTTACCGATGGGGACACTGAAGCCCAGGGCGGGCGGGGAACTGATCTGCCAAGTGCACACAGATCCAGGTCCCCCAGCGCCGAGTTCAGAGACTTCCTCGCACATAGAGACGGCCTGGAGAGACCAGCTTGGTGGTGTCTGTCCAGGGTGGACACAGAGAGGAAGTTGAGCTGCTCTCATGCCCTGGCTTGTCACTAAGGTTCTGTTTTGGTTAGGAGCTTGTGTCTCAGGACAGGCTGAACCAGAGACAGGAGCCTCACAGTGAAAAGCAATGCTTTGTTCAATAACTGTGACTCCTCAGAGCCTCGGCTCTGCCCCCGTGCTGTGCCGGGCAGGTTTACTTCCGAGTTCACTGAGCATTGTGTCCTGCCTTCTGGAATTCACAGAGGAAATGCTTGACCCAGCCCAGGCTGGAAGATGAGGTAGGGGGTCAGAGAAGCCTCTGTGAGAATGAAAGTCCGAGCTGGGTCTTCAGGCAGGAGTAGGCATTAGCCGGGCCAGGGGTGCCAAAGATGAGGAGACAGGGAGACAGGCTGGGGAGGCAGGAGGACCAGGCAGGGAAAAGGCATTAAGACAGAGAAAGAGCAAAGGCACATTTCAGGTCTCTGTACACCTCCTTCATGAGCTGTACTTCCTCTGACTACCATCTGTACAGTGTCTACATAATATTTTAATTGACTATTTCTTAAACATAAATGCATTTTTTAAAAAAAGAGATACTACATTGACAGATGGCTGGATAAAGAAGATGTGACATATATGTAATGGACTACTAGTCAGCCATAAAAAGAATGAAATAATGCCATTTACAGCAACATGGGTGGACCTGGAGGGTATTATGCTAAGTGAAATAAGTCCGACAGAGGAAGACAAATACTGTGTGTTTTCACGTATATGTGAAACCTAAAAGACGAAACACAAATATAACAAAACAGATTCACAGATAGAACAAACTAGTGGCTACCAGAGAGGAGGGGTGAGAATGGGTTAAGTAGGTGAAGGGGATTAAGAAGTACAAACTATTAGTTATAAAATAAATAAGTCACAGGGATGTCATGTATATGGCACAGGGACTATAGTCAATAATGTTGTAATAACATTGTATGATGCATAATCTATAAAAGCATCAAATGTCTAGGTTGTATATCTGAAACTAATATAATATTGTAAGTCAACTACACTTCAATAAAATTTTTTTTAAACTAAAAAAATTTTTTTAAATAAGAGACTCTATATCCTAGGGTTGCTTGCTAATTACTTTTTTCCTAATACACATTAAAGCAAATTCCCAAGTATTTGAGGGAAAGACAGTCATCCTTTTTCCCCCCTGAAATCATCTGCTGGACCCAGGTAGAATGGGTACCACATTTGGCAGAGAGTGAGCCAAGGCACGGCTGTGCATAAGAATGTGGGGTGTGGAGGAAACTCTGACAGAGTGAGCGTGAGGCGGGAGGATTATGATGTGAGGTTTGAGGGCTGAATGGGGCCTGGACTTGAAAGGGCTTGTGTGCCTGGCTAAGGAGCCGGACTGGATCCTCTCCAAGTCAGGAACGGGCAACCACTGAAAGTCTGTGCTGTGAGCTACTCATTAGGCAGGGGGAAACCCTCACCTCCTTCTTGTGGCTCACATGATCTTTGAAGGTCTCGTCTTAAAGGGCTCCCATAAACCCCAATTATCAGGAAATTGAGGAGGCAAAGCTCTAAACAGAGAGTGAGCCAGAAAACCATCTCCCTGACAGCTCAGTGACTTTGGGCAAGTCCTATTACCTCTCACAGCCTCAAGCATTCTGTCTGTAAATTGGGCACATGCCAGGGTGCCCAGGGCAGGACTTAGAGGTTACAAGTCACAGCCTCCTTTCCCATTTCCCTGTAGATTGGGTTTCTCAACCTTGGCAATATTTGACACTTTGGGCCCAATAATTCTTTGCTGGGAGGAGCTGTAGAATGGTCAGCAGCATCTTTACCCTCTACCCACTATATGCCAGTAGCCTATTCTCAGTTATGACAACACTACAAAAATCTCCAGATGTTGCCAGATGTCCCCTGGAGGAGGAGGATGGCACCCAGACTGGTCTTTAGAGAGGTGGAGTGTCGGACAGGGCCTGGTGGCCTCGGCAATGTTGGCTGAAGATGGATTCAGGAGAGCAGAGGGCTTCCTGCAGAGGAGCCCACACCTCCCAAGTTCAGAACCCCAGATAGGGAAGGAATAGTTGATGGCAGAGTTTTTGTCATTGACTCTGTGACTGAAAAGATGACTCATGGATTCCCTAAGTAATGTCTCCTGGGGAGGACACCCCAGAAGGGCCACACGCTCCCAGCACTCAAAGGTGTGACCCACTGCTCCCCTGGGTGGGCCCGTCCTCCTGGATAAGGCAGACCGCAGGGGGAGGGCCGACCGCGGGGCTTAGAGCAAGTGTGAGAAGAGTCAGGATGACTCCCCAGCGGGGCCGTGGACTCACACGCTTTCCAGGTCCTAGAACTCGGTCAACCTGTTCTTTGACTCATAAGAATAATTGTAGTAATAGCACCACTAAGCATCTACTGTATACCATTGCACACACTTAACTAATCCTCACAATGCTTTATCCCAATTTGATACATGAGGAAATTGAAGCTCCGCGGCATTGGGAAATTTGCATGATGTTGCGACCGTGAAGCAGAAGGCACCAAGTACAAAGCGTAGACAGCAGGCTTCAGCCTAGGTCTGTCTAATTCCAAATCCCGTGTTATTTCTCTTGTGTCAGGCTACAAGCTCTCCTTCCTGGCGATGCTGTGAAAAAAGGAGACCCCACTGAAGTGGGCAGGGGCGCTGGGGTTAAAGGATCGCGGTCACTGACGCCTCGGCTGTGGCCTTGGGTGCTGGAGCTTAAAGCCACGTGCACGTGAACCGGAGAACATGGCCACTGATACTTTTAACCTTGTAAAATAAAACCCAGTGACAGCAAGCCACACAAGCGCATAACTCGGTGAGTTATTGTAAGACACACATCTTCCACCCAAGGCAACAAGTGGACGTTGTCAGACCCCCCCAGAAGCCCTCCACGTGCCTCATCCTCTTCATTGCCCCAGCCCCTCTCCCAGGTAACCACAATCCTTGATTTTCAGAGTAGTTATTTCCTTGAATTTATCATCCAATTAGGCACATCGAAACATTAGAGTCTTTCCTTTTTGAAAAACGTGCTGTATCTCTGAAGTTAAGGTTTTAAATTTTATTTTTTATCGAAGTGTAGTTGATGCACGATGTTAGTTTCAGGTGTGTAGCAAAGCGATTCAGTTGTACGTAAAGTCTATTTTGATCAAGGAGTTTCCCCTTCATCCTTTCCTTTCCACGCACTTTGTATACCGAGGAACTCTACAGGTTGACCTGTAAAGGTTTTCAGTCCAAATTTGGCTGGTTGCCTGCTCTGGGTGCCATTTAACATTTTCCTCTGTCTCCTATATTCCCTGCAAAGTAGCAGCTGGACTGAAAGGCTTTATCAGACACAGAAGTGATCCCTTTGGCAGTCCTGTGGGTGGCATCGCATTCTTTCACCAGAAGACTCATGATGTCTCATTTTCATTCCTTTCTTTATGTTGGCAGACATTGACACTCCATGCCTAGATCTGTTAATTCACTGGGAGTTGAAAAAATGATACTATTCTAATTCCAGCATTTTGTTCTCATTTCCTATTTGGAAAATCTAAGAAGACACTTTCCCTCATCTGTTACTTGGTTGCACAGTGGTGTGTTCATCTCTCACATCTGATTATGGAGGGGAAGTAGGTGTCTTTTTATACAAGAGGCTGATTTCTCTCAGTCTGTCTACAAATCTTCCTCGGCTCAGGATGGGGCTATGCCCCAATAAACCCATTGTAAGTTGAAAATACCATCAGTTGAAAATGAATTTAGAGGGGTGGGTACAGCTCAGTTGTGGAGCACAGACTTAGCATGCACAGGGTCCTGGGTTCAATCCTCAGTATCTCCATTAAAAAAAAAATGCATTGAATACACCTAACCTCTGGAACATCATAGCTTAGCCTAGCTTATATTAATACATGC